GTGTTGCATTTATATGATATACTCTAAAGAGATCAATGAGCAAAAAGACAAAATGAGTTCCACAGCCTTTAGAATGTCCTATGTCTAATCAATGCTAGGCACAGAAAAAGGAAGTAGAGGAAAACGAAGTGCCAGCCAGCCACCTGTCTACTCCTTCATTTCATGGTCTTGGTATATAATGTGTCTGGTACAAGCATTCATTACATTTTTGATGAATGGTGGAATAATGGACTGAAACAGGCTATGAAACTTCAGAATCGGGGATCTATAAAATGACAGTGGCACATAATACATAAGAGAGCTGAATGAAGACATTTTATTTATTTATTTATTTGTTTGTTTGTTTATTTGTTTATTTATTTTGTACCAGGGATTGAACTCAGGGGCACTCGACCACTGAGCCACATCCCCAGCCCTATTTTGTATTTCATTTAGAGACAGGGTCTCACTGAGTTGCTTAGTGCCTCGCTTTTGCTGAGGCTGGCTCCTGCCTCAGTCTCCAGAGACACTAGGATTACAGGCATGCGCCACCATGCCCAGCAGGAAAAAATTTTTAATGAAAATCTTACTCTAGCTATTAAATATATTATATTTAAAGTACAAGTAGGATAGCTGGAGAGAACTTTTTATTGGAGGAAAAATGTGGTATTCTACCTGGGAGTTTGATTCAGAACTACCTTCACAATGATCTGTGTAGCTGGATGAACTCTGATAGCAAAAAATCATCATGAGGATCGAGGGAAAGAGGCCAAGCACAGGAGCCTCTGGATGTGCCCACAGATGTGGGGCTCTGGGAGAAGAACTGGGAAAGAGAGGACTGCTGAGGAAATCGTATCATTGGCTGCAAAGTCATGAAGAAAATCCTGCAGTTACAAGCTACTGTACTATTACAAAAATACTGTTTATCTATCCTAATTCTTTTCCAGTAAAGCATGGAAGCCACCCCAGGTTAATTTGACCTCTAGAATTAGTAAGCATTTGCAGAAGGGAACTCAGGGGTCAGTACAATCTGATTTTATGTTGGGAAACAGACTCAGAAAAATAATTTTGTCATGATTGGGTAGTTAATAAGTGTCAGAAATTAACTACATCTCCTCTAGAGAAATTTGTTCATTTTTAAATATAAACGCTCATAAATTCATTGTCATACCAAAAAATTCCTGGGGAAATTTTTTTAAAAATTCTTTTAATATACATACCTTTTCATCAAATCATGTCACTGTCTGCCTAAATTTTCTGTGCTGCTTTGACAAAGAGACTCAAGGGGAATGAACTATTTTTCCCCCATATTTCATGCCATACAAATAGAGAGGGTCTATTCCTTATTATGACAGCAAATTTACAACAGTAAAACCCTCACAAATTGGAAGCTGCTCACAGTCATTATCTCCAAAAGAAAAAAAAATTGTTAAGCTTTGAGGCAAAGAATAAATTAATTGGAGTGAAAGAATTTCTTTCCCAAATTCCAGACACAAACAGCTTGACACTTTGGAAAGAGGTCAGTATGTGGGTTACAGTGTTTTTGTGCCTTCTTCACTTCCTGCTTTATCATGATCCATCTCAGCTGTTACATTTCTCCAAAGTATAAAATTCTGTGTGTGAACAAATTATATTTTCTTTTCAGAAATATGTCTCCATCAGTGTTTTCTTACAAACAGAATGAGCTTTGGTTTTGCCTGTTGTTTGTTTTCCTCACCCCCATTATACCAGGGAACAGGAAAACAGTTTTAAAAACAGAACAGTAAAMACTGAACCTAGGAACACTGCACTCATTCTAGGTAGTTTTACATGTTGTACTATTTTTATATATTGTTTATAGTGTTGCTAATGTCTTCTAACTTTCACAGTGTGATATAAAAAGTGGGTATTTGAAAAAATAATTCTTTAACACTTCGTAAATTTGGCAAAAATTATAAATTTGTAAATTCAGGAATCTCAGTTAATCCTAAACAAGAAAAACTCAAACAAATCAATGGCCAAGCATGTCATAATCTGACTGCTAAAAACTAAAGACAAAGAAAAAATCTTTAAAGCAACTAGAGAAAACAGATGCATTACTTGCAGACGAACAATGATTCATTCATTGCCAGTTTCTCATAAGAAACATTGAAACCAGAAGTGAGCAGAATATTTTAAAGTGCGAAATGGATTGCCAGATCAGAATTCTACATCCAGTGAAAATATCCTTCATTGGTAAAGGTGAGATGAAGTCATTTTCAGGTGAAGGAAAACAGAGAGCTTATTGCCACAAGAACGGTTCTAAAAGTACTAAGGGAAGTGCCTCAGACAGGAGAGAAAAGATACCAGAAAGAAGCCTGGAACATTGGGAAATAAGAGATAATAAGCTCTTAAGTTGTTGAAAGTTCTTTTAATGGTCAAAAGAAAAATATAAGACATTATCTCCTGGGGATATATATTTCCATGTGATTTTATACACGAGCACACTCCCAAGAGTATGTATGGAAGAGAAGAGGGAAATACATTGAAATAACCCCAAAGAAAGAATGAAATGGGAATGAAAAAGAAAACAAACAAATAGAAAACAAGTAAAATGATAGTCCTGAATACAAACATATTAATAATTACATTAGGTTAAGTGGTCAAATTACACCAATCAAAAGACAAAGACTAATAGAATGGACTAAAAAAAAAAGAATCAACAACAAAAAAACACAATCCAACTATATGATGTCTACAAGAAATTTATTTTTAAAATAATGATAAAAATAAATTCATCAAAAAACAATGTGTAGGTATGTTAAAAGTAGAATGATAGAGAAACACATTGAAAACACTAATTAAAAGAAAGCTGGAGTGTTTATATTATTATCAGACAAAAATAGTTTTTAAAGCAGAGACAATTATCAGAGGTGGGAGACACTATGTTTTAAAAATATCAATTCACCATAAGACATAAGAAATACTAAATATGTGCATACCAAATAACAGGACTTCAAAATACATGAAGCAAACCTGACAGAACTGAAAAGAAAATCAAAATGCACACAAAAATGTTTGAGATATAAATCTCTCTCAGTGATCAATAAATCTAGCAGACAGGAGACTAGCAATAAAAAAAGAATTAAACAAAGGTATTAATCAACTGAATGGAATTGACATTCAAAGAATATTTTACCAAACATCAAAATATACTTTTTTCAAGTACACATTCATCAAGATAGATCACATCCTCATTCTTAGAATAAACTTTAACAAATTTAGAAGAATCTAAATCATATAAAGTATGTTCTCTGACCATAATAGAATTTTAAAGTAACACAAAAAAATTTTTAAAGTAAAATATTTATAACAGGAAAATCCCCAAATATTATTAAATTAATCAGCACAATCCTAGATAATGCATGAGTCAGAGGAAGTCTCAAGGAATTATAAAACATTTTGAACTGAAGAAAAGTGGAAAAAACTTATCAACATTTATAGGCTACAACTAATGCCATTCTTAGATACTTATAGCATTATATTATACTAGAAAAACAAAGAAGAAATGTGTCAAATAATATTAAATATAAGCTTCTACCTTAAAACCAAAGCAAGTAGAAGAAAAAAATAGAAATCAATAAAACTGAAAATAGAAAAACAGTAGAGAAAATGAAGAAACCAAAAGGCAGGTCTTTGGATGCATAAAAATAATAACCACTCAAACTTTGATGTTTAGGGGCTGGGAATGTGGCTCAAGCGGTAACGCACGGGGCGCTGGGTTCGATCCTCAGTACCACATAAAATAAAATAAAGATGTTGTATCCACCAAAAACTGAAAAATAATTATTAAAAAATTCTCTCTCTCTCTCTCTCTCTCTCTCTCTCTCTCTCTCTCTCTCTCTCTCTTTAAAAAAAATCTTTTTTTGATGTTTAGAAAACTCAATTTAAAATGGGTAAAACAATTAAACAGACACTTCACCAGGAAAAAAAAAAAAAACAGATGTGGACAGAACACTAGCCCATGAAAAGATATTCAATATCATCAACCATTAGGGAATTGCAAATTGAACACTGAGCTATATTACACATTTATTAAAATGGCTTACAATATCAAGTGCTAATGAGGATACAGAGTAACTGGAATCTTACAGGGCAAAATTTAATAGTCATTTTGGAAACAGTTTAGCAGTTTATTATTAAGTTAAACGTATACTTACCATATAACACAGATATCCTATTCCTAGATATTTACCCTAAAGAAATGAAAATGTATACTCACACAAAAACCTATACAAGAATGCATATAGCCCCTCTATTAATGATTGCTAAGAGCTGGAAACATCTAAATACCCTTCAAGGAATGACTGGATAAACAAAATGGTAATACATCCAAAGTAATAAAATATTCAGCAATAAAATGGAATGGATTATTAATACATGGAACAAGATGAATGATTCTCAAAGGCATTATGCTGAGTGAAAAAATCCAATTTCAAAATGTCACACAGTCTATCATTCCATTTATACAACAAGCCCAAAAATACATTACCAAAATGATAGTGAATGTATCACTGATTGACAGTGGTTAGGGGAAAACCTAATTATACAGGGAGATTAAAAGAAGGAGTCTTGGATTGGGGTTGTGGCTTAGCGGAAACAGTGTACTTGCCTAGCATGTGTGAGGCACTGGGTTTGATTCTCAGCACCACATATAAATAAATTTAAAAAAAAAATAAAGTTCCATCAACAACTAAAAAATATTTTTAAAAAAATAAAATAAAGGAGTCTTTTAGGGAGTGATGGAGTTGTTTTGTATTCTGATTGTATTGTTGGTTCATGAATCTATGCATTCATTAAAATTGCTGTATATCAAGTTCTATACCAAAAATTCAATTTTATTATATATTAATACTAAAAATAAAATTAATATAAATAATTTTTTTTACTTTTAAAAACTGTTAAAATGTTAGGGCACAAACTTCCATAAATTTGAGTATTGAGATTACATCAAAGACTAGCTTGACCACAAATGAAACCCAGGAAGATCCTGATGTACTCACCGCTGCTTGCACCTCGACAGTTGCCATTACTAGAATCCATAGGAAAATCTGAAAGTGACAGAATAAAGAAAGAGCCATAACATATTTGTTATTACTTCAAGAATTCCTATATCAAAATCTAATTCAGTGGCAAGTTTGATTTGCATAAGAGCCAGATTTTTTAAGGAAATGGAACCTTATTAGTGTTGTAAGGCTGGTTTTTTATTTGTGAATTGAATATGGATGAGATCTATTCCGTGATGTGACTGAAAGGTGATACTCTTGAATCCTCAATTGTTCATAAAATTTCGGGATTCAATGAGTAACTTGTGGTTGAAACAAAAGTTGTAAATGACGAGCATCCTATCACAATAAAGGCTTTGCAGACATTAGGCGTTCACCAAACACTGTAACTTGATTACAAAAAGAACTGAACACTCCTGATCAACAACGGTGTGTGTCACACTATGCTGGCACACAGTGAGCTCTTTAGTGCCTAAGGAAAACATTCAGAAAGTGTGCTAGGCATTTCTATTAACAGAAGACCAAATAATTATTCAGCAGAAAGGAAATCTACTGCCTAGGACCTGTTCAAAGCCAGTGCAATGTGACATTAGAAATTGCATTAATTTTTTTATGATATCATAATCCTAAAAAATGATAAAGATGAAGGTCTTTGAATTAAGATAAAGGTCTTCTGATTAATGATAAAGGTTTTCTAATTAAGAAAGCAGCCTCTGATGAATTCCACTGCCAGAAGAGCACCTGCTGAGAGATGTGTACCTAGCCATGAATTCTCACTGACACTGCAACTCACACCTGCATACAAGAGAGTCACACCTGTGTTAACACCGTGCTACGTGAGATCAATGCTTCTATTTATTCTAACAGAAAATAGCATTCTTTCTCTATCATTTTTCTTCATAGGTCACATCATAAATTAAACAAGGAAAGGTTTATACTATCTTGGAACAATGACAATCACAATTGCAATTAATGACTTATTTTCTCAGATTTAGTAATTATTAGCTGTTTTTTGTTTCCTTTGAGACTGGAGAGCTGGTTTTGTTTCTTTGTTTTTCTGGTGCTGGAGAATGAACCAAGGGCCTGTTACATGCTAAGCATATGCTCTTCTGCTGAGCTCCATCTCCACCTCTCTGCTGGTATTTATAAAGCTATATCCAAGAAAAGATAGAGGTCTGCAAATAAATAAGTAGATAAACAGTCAACAAACACTAGTTCTAAAACATTTGGCTCAACTTGGGCATAAATTACTATCTTAATGACTTATTCTATTTAAACTTCATTCAGTAAATATATGCATTTTTTAGGATAATGTGCTGATAGTTTTTCTACTCCTGAACAATAATGTGATAAAATAAATATGGTTTACATAAAAATAATCTTCATAAAAATTATTGTATAGATTAAAATTATATTGGTCCACATTTAAAATGGTTAGAGTTCAAAGATTTATATAAAAATGAAAAATAACTCTTTCCATGGAAAAAGAAAAATCTTTTGAAACAGTTGAGTTAAGGAGAATGTTTTTCTTCTTTCATAGTCATTGTCACAATGAAATAGTTCTACACTTTTAATTATACTTAGAGGGTGGTAGTGCAGTTGCCTAGCACATAAGAGGGCCTGGGTTCTAATCCCCTGTACCACAAGTAAATAGATAGATAAATAAAAATGCTTATAAGTCAATTATTAGAATTGTAAAGAGAAAACAAGCATTTTTTCTGATCATAAATTTTAGACATTGCTTTTAGAAAGTTAAATTTAGGAAGTCTAGCATTAAAATTATCCTGAGTTAAAATAGTAGATTCTGTATCATTAGTAGATTTTATGGCCCATGGATTTCTAGCGGAGTGTCCTTAGGAACTGGAGAAGGTGGAGAGAGTTTTTCTAGATAAAGGATACAACTGCAAAAGTACTGAGGTAGAACACTACAGTGCTCTTCAGGAGCCCTCAACTCCTCTGGTATGGCTAAAGCAAAGAACAGGATAAGCAGAGAGAAATCAAGATGAAGGGGTCAAGTCAGATCCTGAAGGCTATAGGTAGGCCAAAGGACTTCAAACAACACATTTTCATTTCAGAAAGATAAGTCCTGTTGGAATAGGGAGGAGGAATATTGGAGATAAGAGGGCCAATCACTATCCTATGGCCATAATCCACATGAGAAATGATGAGGTCCAAACTAAGAAAATGACATTAGAGAGGAAGGGAAGGAAATTGGACTCAGAGTAGATCCAACCACACTTAATACTCAATATATGTGAGGGATGAGGAAAAGAATAGAATCAAGGCTGATTCCCAAACTAGACAACGAGGTGCAGTGGTACTCTCAATGATACCAGGAAAATTCTAGGAAAGAACCAATGTGGGAGGGTGAGGAAAGGATGAGTTCACTCTGATGCAAGCTGAGATGGAGGGACTCAGGTTTGAGGAGAGAACCTGAAATGTGTGCTCTGCTAACTCAACAAGGCAGCAAGGTGATAACCTCCTATGTGTTGACATCCCCTGGGCTTTCTTCTCACAAGCCAAATACAAATGGGCTTTCAAAATACAAAGAAAAAACTTTATTCCTTTAACTGCAACCTGATGGGTAAAAGGTCAAGTTCTCTGTAAAGTTACCAACCACATTTCTTTCTTTTTTAAAAAATATTTTTTTAATTGTTGATGTACCTTTATTTTATTCATTTATTCATATGTAGTGCTGAAAATTGAACCCAATACCTCACACATGCTAGGCAAGTGCTCTACCACTAGGCTACAACTGAGAGAAAGTACAGTATAGGACATGCTCTGGCTTGAATCCTCTTTTTCTTAACAGCTAACCTAACTTGATAGGTCACTTGACTTCTCTATATGCCTTGGCTTTCTTTTCTGCAAAATGGGAGCAGTAGTTATGAAAATTTAGGGAACATTGCCACTTAATTGCCACTCAATTAAGGATAGGGCCTAGAACATGTTAAGAGTTGCTGCTAATGATGCCTCTCTTGAGATGGCCTAACCTCTCCCAGTGATGATGTTGTGAAACATTTATAGTGTGCATTACCATTTACCAATCACATCACATAAATATTTCTATTCTTCTTCATAATCCCCAATCAATGACAATGCCAAGGGACTTGTTCAAAGTACAAAATGAATGGCAAATCTGAAATTCCAACTAAGTGGCTGAAACTCTAGATTGAAGAAATACAGCCAATTCTTAATTATTTAAAACTATATGTCTATATGGTTCCTCTTGCTCTCCTCTTCGTAGACACCTAGTAGAAAGAAAAATACCAAATATAATATAACATAGTCAATTTTGCTCTTTGAACAACTTTTTAAAATTTGTTGGGAAGGAGAGTGTTAAAAGCCAATTATTAAAATATGATTTAGGAGGGCTGGGGATATAGCTCACTCAGTTGGTAGAATACTTGCCTTGCATGGACAAGGCCCTGGGTTCAATCCCCAGCACCACTATACACAGATACACACACACACACACACACACACACACACACATGATTTAGGCACTATGTAACATTTCATATCACTGCTAATAGAAAGTTAACTCTAAATAAAACACGTGCTGTAAAACTGAGATACTTTTCCACCCAGGGTGCCTTGGCATATTTCACATGATGAAGGATCTTTAGAAACATGATTTTTTAAAATTCTAGTCCTAATCTAAAATTTCCATTTCTCCTTTCCATTCCATATTTCTCCTCATAGCCTTCCTTCTTGGTATTTGGTCCCTCAAATATTTGTAGACTAGAGCTAAAGAAAAGGCTGACTGTTCCTCAGAGAGTGGAGAAATGATTAAACAGCAGTTCCCGCATGCAAAAGCTGGCGCAGCTCTACCAGGCAAGAGGGCCTGCAGAATGTGTTGAGCAAGAGCTAGGGGACAAGTCAGCACTACACAGAATCCAGCAATAACTGAGAGCTGATTATAAAAACCTTGGCATGACCAACTGTAGGTGCTGTAGAAAAAGCTGCGAAATATCCTACCATAAATTTTCTTAAATACTTGATTACTGAGATAAATTATAATTTACAGATACCCATCAGACTCATTCTTCTTTCTTGTTACTCCCAAAGGGATTTGCTCTTGAGCCTGAGGTCCAGGTCCCTTTGTAGAAAGTGAACTATTCACTTCATATACACAGAAATTTCTTCAGTTAGATCTTCTTCAGTTAGGTCCCAGTATAATGTTTGCTCGATAGAGATAATTGTTAAAAGTCTTAGGCAATATCTGTGTTTACCAACATTAACATTTCAAAAACAATGAAAGAAAAAAATCAGTCAATTTTATATAACAGTGATAATAATAGAAAAATTGTAACAGAGGCAACAATTAGTTCTGGGCATACTATGTACCAACTACTGGCTCAATGCTTTACATGCTGTTTAAATCAATCTTCACCATTTTCTTTGGGTGTGGGAAAATTTTTTCCCCAACTATAGATAAGAAAACTAAATCAGAGAGGTCATATAATTTTCCTATAGCAACAGTAGATATGAGGCAGAGTTGATATACAATTCCTGGTTGGCCTGACCCTAAGCCCATATTCTTTACTCACTGTGCAATAGTAAAGATTTGACTAAACAGTGTACTAAACTAGCTGAATGGCTAAATTGAACTGAGTTCTCAAAGGATAAAAAGAAGTATATGCAGCCATACTCTACAACAAATATAAAATACTTAGAAAGAATAAACAATATGAATTTATTAGTAATGGCCAACATGTAATCTATTCCTTCTAAATTAAGTATGTTTGCCCTTAGTGTTTTGAAAGCAAAGAAGCATTATTTTATTTCAGTAAGGCTTTGCTTTGTAAAGTACCCTAAGATTATTTGTGGAGTCACAATATACTATGGGGGAACAGATCTTTATGACTGGCAGGATCTGAAAATCCTCAGTGTTAAAGGAATGTTAAAGGTGGTCCCACTGTATTCAGGGAGACCTCGTTTTTATATCTGACTGGATAGACTCTAGTCATAAGACACAGGGCTCTATTTATATCTGCAGGAAAAAAATCTGCTTCTTGAACTATCATATCCCTCTAAACCAAGGAGTATATTGCATTGTAGATAAAACCAGCACATGTGGTGGTTCCTAAGTAATTCCAGGTGTCTGACAGTTTGACCCAATGTGGGGAATGTAATTTTCAACATACTGGCTCTGGAAGCTAGGGGACCCTTCAGGCTAGAATCTACCCCTCTATTCCCAGACTTTACTCCCCTTTAGCTTCCTCCTGCCACCACAGTCTTTGATTCACACTGAAGGTTGGGCAGAGAGAATATCATTACTAAAATATGATTCCAGCTATCACCTACCCCTACTTATTTTTCTAGCAAGCATGCTGACAGCAAAACTAATATTATGGCATTTTAAAGCAGCTCAGAAATCAGGTCCCCCGGACTGACAAATTGTTTCCATGCATGTCCTATTTGAGTGCTTCAATGAGGCAATTGTTCCACATTTGGTCCATGGTGATAGGTAACTCAGGGACATTTAATGAAACTGCTTCCCATCCATATTGACCATGCTTTTTGAGAGCCATCAACCTTGCCAAACCTCGCTCCTTCCAGGTCCATCTCTAAGACAGCTTTTAGAGCAAGTCTTGTCCTTTAAGGAGAGGACACATGTCAATGTGAATCATTGCCACCTCATTCCTAGTCCTTGGCCTGAGGGGAGTGCCAGTTTTTAACTGATTCTAAGTGCCTGGCAAACCACAGGTAGCAACTGCCCTGAATTCTGCCAGAGTCTGTAGAGTCCCTAACTTTACTGAGTGTAAAGGCTCAAGGGTGCTCTTTTACCCCAAAGAGATTAAGAAATGTTTCTTCTGATTATTTTATACAACCAGTTCTTGGTTCTTGATTAACATTAGAATACAATATCTATATTCAAAAAGTGATAAACTAAGTAAGGTTCAATAAGTTCTTGAAATCTTTCTATTCAGTTTCAGTTTTTTACTGTTCATACAAGCATTTTCCATTCCCCTCTGACTTTATGTTAATGTGTATAGGAAGTAATTCTCTGAATCAGTCCCCTGATAACTAAGAACTACTAACCAAAAGTGGACTGGGGACAATGAACCCAAGCTGAGCAAGTTAAAAGACATAAGAAGGAAACGTTGATACCCATTGAACAAATGTGGATGGGACAACTGAGTCAACTAAAAACAAGGTTAATCTGGGGAGGATATAAAAGAGGACCACTAGTATGATAATTTTTTTTTTCATTCCTAAAGCATATGAGGAGTAAAATTTGAGTTTTGGGTTAGCCAGAGGGAGTAATATTGAATTAGAATTAAATGGACCCTAATGTACGAGGCTTAGTTGGGGGACTTAGAGTTATGAAAGTCATAATTAGGCCAAAAACTACTGAGAAACCAACTTGTGGTTATTCCATTAAATGGAGAAATACAATAAAGTTTTGTGGTGGAGAAAGAGTGAAATGAATGTGTGGATGATGCACACACAAAGCATGAATAAGGTATTGAAGACAAACCATTTACAGAGCATAAGAGCAGGATAAGAGGTGAGATTAAATAACATCACATGAGTATATGAAGATAACACTCTTAAAATATAACTCCTTTAATCCATATGACATTTACAGAATAACTTGAAATCATGTGGGCCTGTGAAAAAGAGTCCAGTAATTTCAGTCTGCCAACTCTATGGCTGGAGCAAGCCGCAGAAGCTAATTAGCAGTGCATAGCAATGTTTCACAACTGTTTTAGTCTGGAATGGAATTACAATTCATCTCATTGAAGGAAGGGGAAATTTAAGGTGAAGGTAATTGCTCAAATTGGATTTTGAGCAAACACTCACCACTAACATCTGCAGATTGGAGCAAGGTTACTGAAATCATCTTGTATTTTCAATGGTCAGATACAAATGAGGTTTTCAGTTTTCTGTTTTCTCCATACAATCTTAATCAGCTAAAACACTAGACATAGAAATCTGATGACTGAGACTGCAAGAGAATCAGGCAAGAAAACTCAGTGATTATAAACAAGCAAGTAAGGAAAGAGCATTAGTAAACAAAATGTGGCTGCTTCCACATGGAAAGAGTAGAAAATAAAGGGTCAGTGTGGAGCAGAAGTGCGATGAAAGTGGAATGAATAGAGTGCTTTAGAAAGACAAATAAGCTATTAAAAGAGAGTGCAACAGTTTGGAAGAGTGATGAGGTGAAACTTGAAAAGAAGAATGGTGCTCACTAGGGGAGTGATTAAGGGAGAGATTAAAAGATCCCAAGAGAAAAAACGGAGTTAGAAGAAAAAGGCGAATAACAAGGAGTGTCAGGGCAGGGGCAGGGTGGGCATTGTCCAGACTCACCTGCTCCATCCGCTGTGACGATGGCCTCCGGAGAGATGCACACGCCCCGGTCGTACACTGGTAATTCCTCGCAGGCCAAGCTCTCCGGCCATGAGTGGCGGTACTTGATAAGGATGGGCTCACAGCCCTGCCTGGCCCTCTCGCACACAGACTTGCAGGGCTTGATGGGCTCATGCTGGAAGTCAATGGTGCAGATAGGTGCGTACATGGCGCAGAGGAAGAAGAGCAGATCTGGGCTGCAATGTGTGCCCAGCAGACCTTCGAATTGCTCGATGGCCAGTATGGCATTGGCCTGGGTGCTATGGTGCAGGTGATTGGGCATCTTGGTCATGTTCCAGGGCAGGGACTTGCACATGGGGATGCGGACGGGCTCACAGGCTGCTGCCCGAGCTCCGGGCACCTGGAGCAGACAGAATGCAGCCAGAGTGAGCAGCCCAGCTCGCAGCAGCAGCATCCTTCCTGGGCTGCCGCAGACCATGATCCCAGCAGAACGGGACAGGGAGCAACTCTACCGTGGACGCTGAGAGGTCCGCTCCGCCGTCTCCTCCTGTTGCCTGGAAGTGGACACAATGATCTGGGAGCTTCTCCTCCCCCGGCAATCTCACAGCTTCCTTGGATCAAATTCCCCCAATGGGGTCCAACGAGCTTCACCGAGCTCCGCTCCCGCCGCTTTGGCTGCTCTTTCCAAACGTCTAAGCCTTCGGGCGCAGCAGCATCTATTTATTCCTCTCCCTCTGGCAGAAGCATCAGAATTTGCACATCAATCAGATGAGAGGAACACAAGAGGAAGAAATAAAAAGTACATTCAGCTAAGGTAGTTGGAGCTTTGGTGGGGTATCGCGTCCGCTGGATACCAAAAAGATGCTAGCAAAAAGCATTAAATTCTCTAAAGCGAGGATAAAAGACGGAGGACCTGGTAGGGAGGAAGGCGGAAAACAGGGGGAAACTAATGGGAGAGGAGGGTACAGTAGGAGTTTGCTACGTCCTGTTGTCTGAGAAAGATCAATTTTCGGTGTGCGCTGCGAAGAGCCTAGCCCCGAGGTCTGTGGCTGGGACCTACAGCTCTTCGCTCTCCCACCTCCAAACGGGTGGGGGAGCTCCGCCCCCGGGGCAGTCCCAGCCTCCAACGCCTGCTCCTCTTCACTGGAAGCGAAAGGGTGTGCGGGGGAGAAGTCTCTGAGTTGCGGGAGATGGGGAGGGAAGTCTTGCCAAGCTGTGAAGATGCGGTAACCCCAAGCAGTACCCACTAGAGCTGGGCATCTCTTCCTCAGTCCCGCAATGGGAAGCCCCAAAGAGGAGCCCCTGCCCCTGACTGAAGAGCCCACTCCAATTCCCCAGGGAGGAGTCCACTAATTTCCGCACCCCCACCGGGGCCCCTCACTCCCTGGAGTATTTCCTTTCAGCAAACTACAACGCCGCTTTTCTTCTAAGATCAGACCTGAGGAAGGAAGGCTTAAACAGCACTAAATGTCCACATCGCAGAAAACAGCACCCCCCTCGCCCACCTAGTGAGCAGCAACGAAGCTTTATCAACCCAGAGCTAAAGACCACAGAGGTCTGCGTTCCGAATAACGAAAGGGAAATTGCCTTTCATCAAGAGCAGAAATGCTGTGGGTGATGATAAATAGTTCACCAGGAGCAAAGAACCGGTGTCTGTATTCTTCTTTATTTGCTCTGGAGAATTAGAACTTTAGAGTTTTGTTTTCTAGGAGTGGAAACTAACATCTTCAAACAGTTTCTCTCTCTCTCTCTCTCTCTCTCTCTCTCTCTCTCTCTCTCTCTCTCCTTCCTTCCTTCCTTCCTTCCTTCCTTCCCTGAAATAAAACGGCCTTTACTACCTAATTCTTCTCAACAACAATTTCGCCTCACACTTGAAAGAAATGTCTAGGAAAACTACCCCACATAGGTAATAACCCTTTCCATCCCATCCAGATGAGTTTTAATCCGGGAGGAGAAAATAGAAAACAGATCTCTCCTGATCTGCTCCAGCACTAACAAGTCTCCTCTTTCCCTCCCTGTCCAACCACCCACTTCCTTTCAGCACATTCTACATGGAATGACCTGCGGAGACCCGGCGCTATGCCCTTTCAATGGGAAATCACAGAGCGAAAGGATTGCAGAATGTCAGAAAACACAGACTCCATTAAGAAAGGAAGGCAACAAAATCTAAAGCAAAACAGGAAGTCACCTTTGCTCTGCATCATTGAAATATTTCTCTGCTTTAATTTCATCCATTTCTGTCAATAACATGCATAGAAAATAAGTCCCCACTTCCCAGCACACAGTGAGATGTCAGTTTCCATTCCCCAGCACTGCCTTAACAGCACTGATAAAATGTCACTGCTAACTTTAGTTTATGGAATTTTTATCTCTAAAATGACCATTAACAGCAGTTTGTGACTGCAGTAAATGTGTTAAAAGGAAGTTTGTTCCACTTGAGAGAAAAACAACAACAGATAGAAGATAGGGAGTCATTTAGTTAATATAAAAAAGCTTTCCCTGGCCTACCATTATTGTCACATAAGAAAACAAGGCCAAATAATATAGATGAATTAGAGGGAAAAATGACTGAGTACATAAAATTTAGTGGAAAAAAACAAAATTTAAAAAGTCAATATTAGAATATTTGGGAGTTAATCCAGATTTTTAAAAGTATGGCACTGATTTGTGATAAATTAAAAGGAAGAAGTGAGACATAATATAATATTGCCAAATATGTTTTCCTGTTCATCTTAAAATTTACAGTGTAAGAAGAAATGAGCCCATTGTTTTAGTGGTTCTACCACTATCTGAAATAAAGTCTGGTTTCCTTACCCTGAGCAAAAGTCAACTGTCCCTTTTATCTAACATGTCCTTTGCAACTTTTCTTTAATCCAAGTTTGTCTTTATCAAAACCTAAAATAAACTACATTGTAGCCAAGTACCCTTTCTGAGTACTCTGAGTCTCTTCATTTTTCTCATTGTTTCTCCTTGAATATTGTTCATGTTTACAAAAGCTTAACACCTGCCAATGTGTTACTTTGAAAAATTATCTTTCATTATTTTATCCAGATGTGCTCTGCCTTCCCTAAAGGGCATGTACAATTTTTGAAACAAGACAATTCATCTTCTGTTTCTTTTGAAAAAGTCATTTAAAAAATGAGGGATGATAGAATTTGAAATACAACATCATAAATATTTTTTTAAATGTCTTATAGATATAATATACAATTGGGGATAATAGTTACACCTAAGTTTGAAAAGCACACTATATGATCATGAAGGAAACACAAGTTAGATATGGCATGGAGCTGCCAGAAACAGATGACCTTCATCCCCAGAAGTGAGTGCCTTCAACAGGCCCAAATTTACAGAAATTCAAGAGAACACTGAAACCTTGTACTTTGGAGAAATGGGTTGTAGATAATTTGTTTCTCTTATGCTTTATTTTATATAACCAGAATTTAACTGATAGTGCACTGATCACTAAATAAAACTGCACCTGGACTACAGAAAAGACAGCCAACTGCTTTAGACTTCTCCTTATAACTACTGAAATTTTCAACTAGATAAATCTGCAGGTAATATGCAAGGGGCTAGAAAATTAGAGTTTTAAATTATATATTTCATGGGCAGAACAATTAGTAGTCTTTTAGAACTCAGGTTTTGAAATAAGAATGCAAATTAGACTTTTGAAAAAGATGGCAAGAGCAAATTATTGATGTACTAATACTGTGCTGCAAAAAAAAAAAAAAAAAAAAAAAAAAATCTCCTGGATACCAGATTCCAAGACTCTGCAAAAGACTCCACAAGACATATCCATGTCTTTTCCAGGACTGAGTACTCCTAGATCTCTGAGAGCTGCAACATAAGGCCCCCTAGAACCTAGTTGGAACTATGGGTCAATTTGGGCTTTATAGAAGCTTAGGAAGTATACCCAGACCAAATCATGGCCAGTCTCCTTAGACTGAGTCATGCCCATGGCCACTAGCATTTCATCTACATTCCTAACAAGGATTTCTGTGGCAATGTCTAGAAAAGATACTGCTAGGTGTTATTGAAACAGCCACACCGTATCACCAAAATTTAAATTTGACTGATTTACACTTCCCCTTCAAAATGTCAATATTTTATTTTGTCAATAATGTGAACCTTTAATGTTAAATAACTTAACATTTCTTCATCTGTTTAAGTAAACTTTAAACTTACCCTAAGATTTTGTTTATAAGACTGCCTACATCTTTCCTATAAGGAAATGTGCTGGACCGGAGGGTATAGCTCAATGGTAGATCACATGTTTAGCATGCATGAGGCCTTGGGTTTGACCCCCAACGTGGCACGCGTGCGCGCGCGCACACACACACTGTGTTTACAATATATATTTATTAGTTTTCAATTAAAAATAAAAAATAAATGTGCTTATATTCCTGCAAACAGGGCTTATAAGTAAAATAACAAATGGTAGAGCGTGAATGTGTTAGTTGGTTTCCAATCACTGACAGAATACCTGAAGATAATAGACTTTAAAAAAAGGAAATGTTTATTTTGGCTCACCATTCAGTTTCCAGTCCTCGGTCGCTTGGCCCTGTTGCTCTGGGCCTATGACAACACAGTACATCATGGCAGTAGCATGTGGCAGAGGAGGCCTGTTCACTTTATGTCAACCCAGAAGCAAAGAGAGAAGAGGAGGAGGACCAAGACATTCCCTTCAGGGGAATGCCCTAACGGTATGCACCTAAGGACCTAACTTCCTTCTGGTAGGCCTTATCCTTTAAAATTTTCTGTCACCTCCCAATAGCTCCACAGGTTGGGGGCCAAGCTCCACATGGGGCTTTGGAGGACATTCTAGATCCAAACTATAGCAATGGACATCTACCAGTTAGAAGGTCTGAATCCAGTGTCATTCTATAGTAAGTATCAGTCCGAGGTATCCAGGGAGCAAGGAGACTTGTGTTACTGAATACACACCTCCTGTGAGGCACATAAACCACACAAATTTGCAGACTATATTAATTCCAAAGATGAAGAAACTGAGGCTCTGAGGAAGAAACTGAGGAAGGAGGTTCCCCAAAGTTCTCACAAATAGATAAGGGCATGTCAGAGTGATACTTGAATCCATGCTTTCTTCACAATTCCAGTAATCATGCTGTTTCATGGGCAGGAGGGAGCTGTGAAAGGGAAGCACTGGATTATCTCTGAACCTGGGTCTCGGCCTGCACCCTAACCATACCACTGGCCTGGTGTTGGCTCTGCCCTGCCAAGAATACAAAGTTGTCAAGGTGTCAAGCCCAATGAGAAGCTTTAGACTTCAAGTGGGAAGACTTCCCTGCCTGGGGCCTCTCCCTGAGATGCTCTGTAGATCTAGTAGTCCCTAGATCCACTAGTTCCACTTTAGGAAGATCTTATCCCTTCCAGACTTGAAGCAATTCGATGAAAGCATCCCACCTGCTAGCTGCTGCAGCATTAGGGCAGTGGTTTTCAAACATGTGTGCAGCAGAATCTTCTGGAGGGCTTCTGGAAAAATAGATTGACAGGCCCTCTCCAGAGTTTCTGAACAGTGGGTTGGGGTAAGGCCTAAGAATTTACATTTCTAACATTTCCCAGATGAACCTAATACTGATGTCCAAGGACAATGCTTTAATAAATCACCCCTTTGAACTAGATGATAAGCTTTGATTTGTCCTTATAAACTCTTCCTGTGCAGTAAAGATTTCATGATTTTGATCTTCTTTTCTCTTTATCAGAAACAAAATTTCTAATAACGTAACCTTACAGCTAAACAACACTTGGGGGTGGGGAGAGGTCTAGATATCGCTATCATTTATTCAAAGTTTGTACTAATGGCCTCAATAACACTCACCATGCAATCATCTAGCCCTCTGACCTTAATGTACTTTCCTAATGGGTCACAGCTCCACTCTATCCCCATTGTAACAAAATAATAGATCGAGCTTGAAAGAAGTTCCAGAAGGGGCCTTAATACCTTAATGATGGAATGAACCTCCACCAAATAGTTCACCCATGCCCCTCCTCAAGTCTCCCAGTCTCTATATCTTAATTCAAAGAAAAAA